CTTGAATCTTAAAGGGTGGGGATATGATTAAACATTTCTTGCAGTTAGATTATTTTGTGACTAGGGACTATGTCTTTTCCCTTTTTTGTGAATAGTAGCTTAAAGTACATGTTTTAGTTTTACTTGTTAAATAATTTGAATTTCTTTTTTTATAATTATTTTAATTTTATTCATTCATTTATTTTATTTTGACCAGAGAGAGAGATGCAGAGAGAGAGAGAGAGGAAAAGTGAGAAAGCAAGCCACCAGGTTCAGGACTTGAATTATGGTTGGCCATGTGCGAGTGTCCACCCCCTTAACCACCATGCCACCTGCTGGTCCCAATAACTTGAATTTCTAAACTGAATTCTGGTACAACCTATATTCCTCGTTGTTCTTCTCCCTGACAAAACAAAACAAAACAGAACCCCTATAAGAGTAATCCATTTATACTAGGGCCATCCTTTTCTTTTTTTCTCCTCAAATGTCGACCCAACCTTAACGTACCTTACCTAATTTCTTATATGTTTGGTGGAATTCACCAGTGAACTTATCTAGGTGTAGTGTTTTCTGTTTTTTGAAGTTTACTAATTACTGGTTCAATTTCTTTAATAAATATAGACCTAATTAATGTGTTCATTTCTTGTGTTAATTTTTGGCAGATTGTGTCTTTCAAGGAATTGGTCTAGTTCATCTAGGTTACCAAATTTGTGAGCATAGAATTTTTCCAAATATTTCTCGCTATTATCCTTTTAATGTTTATGGGATCTATAGCGATGTTCCTTCTTTTACTGTTACTAGTAATTGGTGTCTTCTCTCTCTCTCTTGCTCTCTCTTTTTTCTTAGGTTAGCCTGGTTAGTGGCTTGTTGAGTTATTGATCTTAACAAAGAACCATATTTTGGTTTTAGTGACTTTTCTCTAGCAATTTCCTGTTTTCCATTTTACTGATTTCTGTTGCTCTATTTTTCATTACCTATTTTCTTCTGTTTAAATTATTCTTTTGTCTAGTTTTCAAAGGTCTAAGTTTATACTATTGATTTTCATACCTTCTTTTCTAATGTGATTCAGTGCTATAAATTTCCCTTTAAGAACCATTTTCACTACCTCTGATGAATTTTGATAAGCAATATTTTCATTTTGTTTTGGTTCAGTGTTTAAAATTTTTTTCTTGACATTTCTTTCTTGGAGAGGTTCCCCGCCCCGCTGTAGGGCACGTGCGCTCGCCAGACGGAGAGAGACATAGAGACAGAAAGCGAGAAATCTCCCCCCAGGGGGGAATGGTCACGCTGCAATCCCTTCCCCTCCATTCTCCTCTCGGGATCTTGGGCACGCACACACACACGTCCGGGGTGAGTTTTTAAGCCACTGGGTCCGGGACGCGAACCACGGTTGACTACGTGGGAGTCCAGCGACATAGCCATTACGCTAACTGCTGGTTCCCGACTTTTCTTTCTTGACCCATATGTTGAAGTATGTTGTTCAGTCTCCAAGTATATGGGGATTTTTCTAGTTATTGTTCTGTTACTCATTTCTCATGTAATTTGTCTGAGACCAGATATTGTGTGGTTTCTGTTCTTTTCAGTTCGTTAAGATGTATTTTATAGTCCTGGATATGGTTTATCTTGATGAATGTTCTGTGTGAGTTCGAGAAGAAATGTGTATTCGTCCTGCTGTTTTTGTATGATGTAGTCTCTGTATGTCAGTTATATCCAGTTAGTTGATGTAGTATTGAGTTTAACTATGTTATTACTGATTTTCTGCCTGTTGGATCTGTCCATTTCATAGTTTTTGTTTATGGAGAGGTTTTGCTATAGGGTGCGTGTCCTCGCCAGAGAGAGACAGAGAGACAGAAAGCGAGAAATAGCCACACTGCAGTGTGGGATCCTCTTGGGATCTTGGGCACGTATGCACATGCGCCTGGCCACCGGATTTAAGCCTGAGTTTAAGCCACCGGATCCACAGTTGAGTACATGGGAGTCCAGTGACGTAGCCATTATGCCATCTGCTGGTCCCTTGGATCTGTCCATTTCTGATGCAGTGGTGTTGAGGTCTCCAACTATAATAGTGGATTTATCTGTTTTCCTTGAAGTTTTGCCACCTTTTGCATCATATGTTTTGATGTTTTGTTAGATATGTGCACATTAAGGATCGATATATCTTGGAATATTGACCCCTTTTATCATTATATAATGCTCTCTTTATCCCTGATTACTTTCTTTACTCTGAAGTTGGCTCTGTCTTAAAATAATACAGCTCCTCCCATTTTCCTTTAAAAATTATCATTACTGTTTTATTTTACTTTTTAGCTTTTGTTGTAGGGTGTGTGCACTTGCCAGAGAGAGGGAACCTGAAAAATCACCTTCCCCCAGATGGCCACACCACAGTCCCTTCTCCATTGTCCTCTTAGGATTCTGGGTACTCATGCACACGCATACACCTGGTGTGATTTTCAAGGCACTGAATCTGGGACGGAAACCAGGCAGTCAGCCATGTGATATCCAGTGTTTTGTTTTGTTTTAGAGAGGTTTTTGCTATACGGTGTGTATGCTCCTTGGAGAGAGAGGGAGACAGAAAGTGAGAAATCACCCCCGGCGGGGATGGCCATGCTGCACTCCCTTCCCCTTCATTCTCCTTTCTGGATCTTGGACATGCATGCAGATGTTCCCGGAGTGAGTTTTAAGTCTCCAAGTCTGGGATTGAAACTGCAGTCAACTACATGGGAGTCCACCGAAGTAACCATTACACCATCTGCTGGTCCCAGAGATTGATCCAGTGTTTTAACCTCCAGGCCACCTGCTAGCCCCAGCTTCTTTCCCTTTTTACATGGATTCTTGTGTCCATTAAATATATTCTTGGGACCAGCAGATGGCATAGCTTTTATGTCAGTGGACTCACACATGGCCAACCGCCGTTCACGTCCCTGTCCTGGTGGCTTGAAACTCATGCTGGTTGTGTGTGCATGCCTTCCCAAGATCCCAGGAGGAGAAAGGAGGAGAAGGGATTGCAGCTTGGCCATCTCCCTTGGGGAGGTGATTTCTCACTTTCCCTCTCATCGTCTCTGTCCGTCTCTCTCTGGCGAGCACGTGTGCCCTAAAGGCCAAAACCTCTCAAAAATTTTTTCTCATGACCCCCTCCCAACCCAAGCATATCTTAGTATCTACTATTGCTGTTTCTTTCTATGTCATAAACAATTCTTACTAAAATACTTGACTCTTGAAGGATATATTTGTAAATTATGCTTCATATAAGGGACCGATATAAAAAATGTACAGGGAACTCAAGTAGCTTAGCCACACACACAAAAATGTTCAATTAAAAATTGGGTGAATGGGGGAACCAGCAGTTAGTGTAATGGCTATGTCACTGCCATGTAGTCGACCACGGTTCGCGTCCCGGACCTGGTGGCTTAAAACTCACGCCGGGTGTGTGTGTGTGCGTGCCCAAGATCCCTAGAGGAGAATGGAGGAGAAGGGATTGCGGCGTGACCATCCCCCCAGGGGGTGATTTCTCGCTTTCTGTCTCTATGTCTCTCTCTGTCTGTCTATAGCGAAAACCTCTCCAAAAAAAAAAAAATTGGGTGAATGGGGGCTGGCAGATGGCATGGTGGTTAAGGTGCTAGACTCCCACACGGCCAACTGTTGTTCAAGTCCTGCACCTGGAGACTTGCTTTCTCACTTTCTGTCTCTTTCTCTCTCTCGTTGTCACTCACTCATTCTCACTCTGTCCCTCTCTGGTCAAATTAAAATAAATAAATTAATTAAGTTAAATAAAAACAAGTTTTTAAAAATTGGGCAAATGAGCTGAACAGATAATTCTCCAAGGAAGACATGCAAGTGGCCCAAAAGCATGTGCAGAAATGCTCAATATGTCGTATCAGAAAGGCAATGCCAATCAAAACCATAATGAGATACCACTTAACCCCAATCAGAATGACTAAGATTTTTTTTAAAATAAAGAATGACAAGTGCAGTGAGGCTGCAGCAAAAAGAGAACCCTTCTACACTGTTAGCGAGAATGTAAATTAGTATAATCACTGTAGAAGACAATATGGAAGTTCCTAAAAAACCCACAAATAGAACAACCATATGACTCAGTAACCCCACTGCTGGGGTATTTACCCAAAGGATAGGAAAACACTTGCACATCTATGTTTTGCAACATTATTCACAATTGTTAAGACTCGGAATCAACCCAGCTGCCTAAGAACAGATGACTGGTTTGCAAAAATATGGCATATATACTGTGGAATGCTACTCAGCCATAAAAAATGATAAGACACTGTCATTTGGTACAAAGTGGGTAAATATGGAAGATTTTATGTTAAGTGAAGCAAGCCAGACTATGAAGGAGATGCATCATAAGTCCCTGCTCAGTATATACTGAATATTTGAAATCTATAAGCAGAAACTGAAAAATGAGAAGGCTCTCCTACCCGTCTGCCTTCTGTTGATAATATAGCATGAAGATCTTCACCAGATGCTGACCTTTAGATTTTCTAGTCTAATAAATCACAAATCAAAACTATTTTCTTAAAAACAAAAACTTTTGTAGTTCTTAAAAGTTTTATCATCATAGTCATGGTCCTTCCATCTCCACAACAAAGTGTAAGTATAAGTGGGCTTCTGAGCTAGGCCTCAGTTTGAACCCCTAGTATCTGTTCTTTTTTTAAAATTCAATGTTTTAAATTGAGGTATAACTCACATACCATACAATACACCCTTTTAAATTGTACAATTCAGTTGGTTTTAGTATATTCACAAGGTGGTTTACTATCACTGTTATCTAATTTTAGAAAATTTTCATCACCCCAGAAAGGAAGCCCCATACCCATACCCATGCATGCAGTCACTCCCCATTCCTTCTTCTTCCAGCCCCAGACAACTATTAATCTACTAATATTACCATTTTTATTCAAAGTAAAGAGATTAAAAATATCTGACTCTAACTGATTTTTAATGCTAATATTCTTCAGAAATATATTATGCTAAAAGGAAGCATTTCTTGACTTTTCCCCTTGTAGGAAATAACACCAGAAAAGGATACAATGGGACAGACAGTGAATGAAGGTAAGATTTACTTGTCTGAAGTGGTAATGTTTCTAATGATTCATTTGGAATAAATGTCTTCTGTTATATTGAACTGTTGAAATAAAGCCTTTTTTAAAAATCATAGGAGAATTAGAGCTTAGAATTGGAATTTTAGAACTGAATAGCTATTAAAGGTATTCTGTCTTAAGACAACTGGGGAAATGGGAACGCTGGTTATTTTATGATATTAAAGAAGTATGGTTAATATTTTAGGTATAATCATAGTATTATGTTTAAATTTTTAAAAATGAGTCTTTTAAAAAATTTTTATTAAATGTTATTTATTTATTCATTCATCTATTTTTAATTTGACAGAGGGAGACACAGAGAGAGAGAAAGAGAGGAAGTGAGAAAGCAAGCCACCAGGTCCAGGACTTGAACAGTGGTCAGTCTTGTGGGAGTGTCCAGCACCTTAACCACCATGCCACCTACTGGTCCCTAAAAATGAATCTTTTTAAAAATATACACTACAAGGAACCAGCACATGGTGTAATGGTTACGTTGCTGGACTTCCATGTAGTCTACCGCAGTTCAAGTCCAGGACCCGGCGGCTTAAAACTCATGCCAGGCACGGGTGTGTGTGTGCCCAAGATCCCAAGAAAAGACTGGATGAGAAGGGATTGCGGCATGGCTAGGGTCCCTGGAGGGTGATTTCTCGCTTTCTGTCCCTTGGGTGAATGCACTCACCCTATAGCAAAAATCTCTCCCTCTAAAAAAAAAAGAAAAAAAACCTATACTATATTAAGTGTGGATAAAATGATATATCTTAGATTTGGTGATGTCATAAGGTCCAGCACTATTTGAGCTCTTTAGCTTAGCACAGAGAAAAATCTGCCTACTCCATCAAATTGCAGTGTATTCTAGTGTCTCAGTAATGTTTTGGACTCTTAAAAACATCTACTATCTTTCTAGGGCTTGCTAATTTAAACATTGTAAGTATCAGCTCATTTTGGTTTATTGATGCATTCATTTTAGCTAGCACTTAAGAGTGTTCTGTATGACCAGATTCTGTTCTAGGTGCTGAGAATACAACAGTGAACAAGACAGACAAATAAATCCCTGCCCTTTTGGAGCTTTCATTTGAGTAGAGTGAGGCAGCTGATAAACTAAATATGAACAATTTATAAAGTGCATAGTATATTAGAAAGTGATAGTTCTATCTAGGAAATAAGGATATTATAAAATTAAAATTGACTTTTATTTTAAAATAGTTAGTTGTTTTTCTCCCTTTAAAAAAAATTAATTATTTATTTTACATTCATTCACTGTGTATCATTGCAGCATATAAAATTTCCCATCCACAATGTGCTGTATATTGGCTTAATCAAAGATAATACCATACATGCTATCTTCAACAGATAATTTTCCATTTTGTATTTCTTATAAATTTAATTTGTTTCCCTCCTAATTCCCTCCTTCTCACCCTCTTTCATTTCCCACCCTCCTCCCACACTGTCTCTGGTATCCACTATTGCTCTCCATGCTTTTATACCATCCAGCATTTCAGTTTCTGCTATAAAGTGCAGACATTTGGTATATATTAAGTGGAGACATACAGTGCCTTGCTTTTATAGTGTGGCTTGCTTCGCTTAGCAGTAAATCTTCCATATTCATCCACTTTTTATCAAATGCCTGGGTCTCATTGTTTCTTATGGCTGAGTATTATTCCATAGTGTATATGTACCACACTTTTCAATCCATTCATCTGTTTAACAATAGCTTATGTTAATGTTTAACATTTGGTTTGGTTCCATGTCTTAGCTATTGTTAATAATGTCACGATAAACATGGATGATGTGCAAGTGTTTTTCCGAATAAGTGCCTTCCTATCCTTTGGGTAGATACTCAGGAGTGGAATTGCTGGATCATACTGTTGGTGGGAATGTGAATTAGTACTGTCACTGTGGAAAACAGTATGGCGATTCCTCAGAGACCTATAAATAGAACTACCATATAATCCAGCTATTTTTCCCTTTTTTTAATTGCCAGGGGATGCATTCACTGGGTGATGGGGTGACAGAAAGCAACCCCTAGTGGAGCATGGTCACACTACAATCTATTCCCTACATTTCTTCATCCTTTTAGGATTTTAGGCATGCACACACACATGCTTAGTATGTTTTTAAATTTTCCAGGGGCCAGGATTCAAACCTTGGTTGGCCATATGGAATCCGGTTCCCAGTACATAGTACTTAACCACTGTGCTGTGTGTCTATTTTATTGTTTTTTTGAAGTCTTCTTTCAACTATTTCTGTGGCCTTCATGTATTGCTGATTAGTTTCTTTTTTCTTAGATTCGATGGATATCAAGAAGGAGGAAGAAGAAAAAACTTATTCAAGCACATCTTCTACACAAAATGGTAGGTTTTAAAATATAGTAGTTTAGTACAACAACTCAATGTTAAAATGAACTCTTTGTATTGCTTTTGGTACAGAATCTATATATTGGGCTGTTGGAAAAGTCAGGACTTATTTTTTTGTTTTTCTATGAAAAAAATGTGTCATGACTTTTCTGACAACCCAGTAATAGGCTCCTATAAATATAAAATTTAAGCAATAAGAAAGGTGTTATATTTTTGAAAGTTTTTCTTGGAAGTAAATTGGTATGGATTAAGTAAAAAGACAACTGTGTATTTCAGTGCAAATTTTTCCCAAAATATAGGTAACTCGTTATTAATTACCAGGTATTACCAATTTAAAATAATTTTATTATTAAAAACTTTTTTTCCTTATATTAAAATCAAAATTTCATTTTTCATGACAATTCAGTAATTAAGAGCTTAATTTTTCTTTTCTTTTTCCTTTTTTTTAAAAAAAAATTAAGGTTTTTGCTGTAGGGCTTGTGCGCTTGCTGAAGGGAAAGTGAGAAATCACCTCCCAGGGAGGATGGGCATGCCTCAATCCCTTCTCCTTCCAGGATTTTGGGCATGCATGTACACATGACTGGTGTTAATTTCAAACTGCTGGGTCCAGAGTTTCAACCACAGTCAACCATGAGAATTAAACTTCATATGAATTAATTTTATCTTCAGCACTTCTAACAAGTATTTTTCAATGTCTTGACAGTCAGGCTGGCACATTGAATTGAAGTGTTCAAGCCAGGCAGAGTACACTTTTCTGATCTCTTCTAGCGTTATAATACATCTATAAACTGGAGATGTACAGTACCTACCTTCTAAAGTTGTAAGAAGATTACACATAGTAAATGTAAATTGCTGGGGTTAGAAGAACTGTTACAGTAGTATTTAAATAAAGAAATTTTATAAAATGCATGCACATTCTCACTTTTAATATGGCCTATACTTTATCCCGTAAGATCCTTAAAGAAATGTGCTTCTGAGCTAATTATATTGTATTGTGAAGACTAAGAAAGAGAAGATTTTTTTGAGATCATAGATCGCTTTCTGTCTCTCTGTCTGTCTCTGTCTGTCTGGCGAGCACACACGCCCTATAGCAAAAACCTCTCCAGAAAAAAGAAAAAAGAGAAAGCATTGCAGCGGTGAAAGTCTGTCAGACCACACACCTAAACATCTTTAGCACCTCATGAAAAATAAGTAAAAACTTTCACATTAATGGGATGAAGTGCTGAAAACACCACGTTTCTTGAATAAGTTTATATTAGATGCAGATGAGTAGACTTTGTTGTTACTCCATAAGAATCCTCTAGTTGTTTCTATTGTCTGCATTTTTAGAATCATTATGCTGTAGACTTCATTACATTGTGATGTTCTGGGTTTTAATTTATATCAGAGCCATTATTATCAGGAAGTTGTCAAATTTTTTATTTCAGTGCTGGTAATCAAATATATTGAATAGATTGGAAAGTTTGAATCTACTCTTGGGCAGTATTTTTTAATGACGTACAAAACTAAAACTCACTTTATTCCTGAAAGTGCATATATTGTATATAGTGAAAAAAACCAACAATAACCCTATTTTGTATATGTTTTCTCTAGATGAGTTCCAGTGGGACAAGTATTTGCAGGAGACTGGATCTTTCAGTGCTCCTTCAGAATGCTTCAGACAGGTATGCCAGAATTCTGTAGATGCTATATATATTAATATAAACTTGTTAATTATAACTTATTTACAGGTGTCTCTGTGATTGTAAGGTTCTGGTGGTATGAGGAGATAATGGGATTGTGGTAGTACCACTTAGGAGCCACATGGTCTCTTCATTTAGTCATTAAGAATTTATTGTGTCAGGTATACTAAGCCCTTAGGATTGCTCACCTGGAGGGAAAGACAGACATACAAATAAATAATTATGAGAAGAATGATAACTCTATTTTGGGAGGGTTCAGAGAAAATTAGAGATGATTAGAATAAGGGTAAGAATATTCCAGGCAAAGAAGCCAAAGTATATGAGTGTGTAACAATCTGGGTACTGAGTGATGGCATAGGCTTGCTAGAGCACAAAATGCTTAGAGATGATAATGTGGGAGTACCATTAAAGGTGTGACAGTGTTTAAACTGTGCTGGAGAACTGGACTTTCTCATAGACAGTGGTAAGGTGCTGGTTGACTTAAAGAGAATAGCCAAATCAAATTCTTATTTTAGAAATAAGAATATGGATGTGTTCTAAAGGCCATTTTTAGATTGTTTGGGAAGTTGGTAGATGAAGAAGATAGGTATGGGCGGCATTTTTATGCTGCACAGCAAAGCAAGGAATTTGGAGATATTTTCCTTGAGCCCTATAGGTCTGACCTCACTTACCATCTGCTGTGACTGTCACTTAAAATTTTTCTTCAGGTATTCTGGTCTCATAACTTGACCATGTGTTTTTATTATAGTTAATTCATCATAACAATTTTTTCTTATACATATATAGTCTAAGATTCCACCTGTTAATGACTTCAAAGCTGGAATGAAATTGGAAGCCCGTGATCCTCGCAATATTAGTTCAGTATGTATTGCTACAGTAGTTGGAGTTACTGGGGCCAGGATACGTCTACGGCTGGATGGTAGTGACAATAAAAATGATTTTTGGAGACTTGTTGATTCATCAGACATACACCCTGTTGGGACTTGTGAAAAGGATGGAGACTTACTTCAACCTCCATTGGGTAAGGATAACAATTTTTAAAATAACATATTCTTGCTAATGTGATATTCAGTATAAACAGCATTAAGTGGTCTTTAAATTTTTTTTTTTCCTCATGGCATTGTTGCAAATAAATGGTCAGGTGGTTACTACGTAGAATGTATGATGAGAGAGGAACTCCATACCAAGTTTTTGCTGAAATATACATTTGGCATATGTGTGCTGAAGGTTCCTCACTCTAAGGCAAGACTCACACTAAGTCTTTAGACTTGAAATGTCAAAAGCAGATCTACTAGATTGATTACATGCGCAGATTCAAAAATCCTTATTGGGAAGAAGTTTGTAATTTGATACAAGTCACATCCTCTCTCTAAATTATTTGCTGAGCCATTCAGCTTTTTGTTGGGATGGGGGTGAGCATAGGGGAAGGGTATGATTTAACATCTAGGCTCTGGTTTCAAACTTTGAATTTCATTACACCTATAGTGGGAAGAAATTAGAATGAGAGTGGTAGGAGTCCATACCTTTAGGTCTTTGTAAAGGAGGAGAGGATGGAACCTTTTAACAGAGGTTTTAAGGGACCAGCAGGTAGCGTAATGGCTATGTCGCTGGACTCCCATGTAGTCCACTGCGGTTCGAGTCCTGGACCTCGTGGCTTAAACTCATGCCAGGTTCTTGTGCGTGCGTGCCCAAGATCCCAAGAGGAGAATGGAGAAGGGATTGTGGCATGACTATCCCCCCTGGGGGGTGATTTCTTGCTTTCTGTCTCTCTGTCTGGCAAGCGCACACACCCTATAGCAAAAATCTCTCAAAAAAAAAAAAAAAACCAAAAACACAAAGGTTTTAAGGTACAAAGTATTTTATTCAGCTTTGGCCAAGTTTTTAAAAGGTAAAAAGGAGATTACTCTAATTTTGGGCAAAATATTTTTTTAAAAATTTTAAGCATACCATAATACTCTGTAGAAAGTAAGTGGTTTAATGTGGTTGATCTGTAATTTACTGAGTAAATGGTAGGTATTGGTTTTTATGTGGTTCATAATAACCCTGAAAAGGAAATTCTTTATTATAAAGTACAATGAAAGAATGGATTTTTTTTGCCTCCTATTAAATACCAAAAATTCTCCAAGAACCACAAATTTAGGAACTTAATAATAGCCACTCTTTTTTTTTTTGGTAAGACTTATTTATTTAAAAAAAAATTTTAAGGAGCTTTTTGCTCTTTTGTGTGGGTGTGTTCACTGGAGGTACCGAGAGAGAGAGAGACAGACAGACAGACAGACAGAGACAGAAAGCAAGAAATCACCCCCTGAGGGGATGGCCACGCCACAATCTTTCATTCTCTTCTCGAGATTTTTGGCACACATGCACACGCACCCAGGATGAGTTTTAAGTTGCTGGGTCTGGCACTCAAACTGTGGTTGACTACGTGGGAGTCCACTGACAATGATTATGCCATCTGCTGGTCACTATTTAAATTTTTTTGTCTTTAGTAGCAATATTATTGTTGTTTAATTTGCTATAGGGCACACATGCTAACCAGAGAGAGACAGAGACGGAAAGTGAGAGAGCAAGTTGCCAAGTCTGGGACTTGAACCGCAGTCGTGCATGTGGGAGTCCAGTGCCTTTAACTGCCAAGCCACATTGTAGCCCCAATAACCACTCTTTTAGTAGTATCTTTTTTTATACTGTCCTTGCTCTAATTATTCATTTTAACTAATTTGGTTTAAAACATTTTTAAAAATTTGTCAGAGGTATCTTATCCCATGATTTAGGGCATGTGTGTTTTTGCTCTTTTCCCTTTATTTCTTCATTGTATTCACATTTTTGTTGTTCATTTTATTTCTTAAACCATACAGAATTCTGTACTAGCAGTAAGTACAAACCTGGGACTTAGTGCTTCCATGTTTGGATTTTATTTCTCTGGTGCAGTGGTAACATGTTTTTGCATTTTGTTTAAGGAAAATGCAACTACAGGTTGAGGACTCCCTAATCTGAAAATCTAAAATTCAAAACTTTTCAAATGCTGATTTGGAAAATTCCATATCTAACCCTGTGATGAATTGTAGTGAAAACACTACAATGCAAACATATTATATAAAATACCTTCAGGATATGCACATAAAGTGAATATGAAACAAATGAAGTTTGTGTTTAGACTTAATATATTAGACCCTAATATATTAGACTCAAATATATTAGACTGTAATGTATTTTGTTATATATATTCATATATTTCAATATTCACAAAAATTAGAAATCCAGATCACTTCTGATCTCAAGCATTTTGGATAAGGGATACTCAGCCTGTATTATAATTGTCAAAATTTTAAATACATAGCTTTATTATAGTTATTGTTTTCTTTTCTTTTTTTTTTTTTTTGAGTTTTTTTTTTTTTTTTCTATTGGGTGCATGCGCTTGCCAGAAAGACAGAGAGATAGAAAGCAAGAAATAACGCCCCAGGGGGGATGGCCACACCGCAATCCCTTCTCCTCCATTCTCCTCTCGGGATCTTGGACGGGCACGCACGCATACATGCCCGGCATGAATCGACCATGGTTTGAGTCCCGCTGTGAGTCTAAGCCACCAGTTCCGGGACTCGAACTGCGGTTGGCTACGTGGGAGTCCAGTGACATAGCCATTACAGTAACTGCTGGTCCCCAGACTTCCTAATGTTATAAATTAGTTTTTATGTGTTTGTGAACTTTTTTTATGTGTACTTTAATCTACTTTTGGCTTTAATCAATGTTTGACTTCAGGCAATTTTGAAATGAAAATAAATATTACATTCAGAAAAATCTTGGTGTGTGATGGAATAGGGTAAGAAGAGCGTTAAGAGAAAGGCATAAGTACCTGAGAATGATTCTTATACAATAGCCTCCAAGGAATTCTGGAGAGATATAATAGGTAGTGGAAAGTTTTTATTAGATGTAGTAGGAAACTATTAGATATCAATAATAATATTAATTTATTATATGGTAGTGGAAAGTTTTTATTAGATGTAGTAGGAAACTATTAGATATCAATAATAATATTAATTTATTATATGGGATTCCATAACAAACCATACCCCTCCTCCTGTTTGTTCTCCTAGCAGCAATTATTTTCATAGTCAGATTAAGAGAGTTTTGGTACAGGATTATTAGAGTATGACTTTTTGTTTGTTTATAGAGACATTTTTGCTATAGGGTGCATGCACTCACCAGACAGACAGAAAGTAAGAAATTACCCCTCAGGGGGATGGCCATGCCACAGTCCCTTCTCCTCCATTTTCCTCTCAGAATTTTGGGCATGCACACACATGTACCCTATGTACGTTTGAAGCTACCAGGTCCAGGACTCAATCTACAGTCGACTACATTGGAGTCTGGCGACGTAACCATTGGACCATTCGCTGGTCCCTAGAGCATGATTTTCTATTTTACATTTTTGGACATTTTGTCCTGATGATGGACTTATTGCCAGTGATTTACATGTCTCTCTGTCTTGTTTGCTTTTTTAATCTTCCAGGGGGCACCGGCGCTCACCAGAGACAGAGAGATGGAGGGAGAAGGAAAAAGCACTCCATCCCCTGTGAGGAATGGCCACACCACAGTCCCTTCTTCATTTCTCCTTCCTGTTGGGATTTTGGACAGGCACACACACACATGCATACACACACGCACAGTGTGTTTTTTGAGCTGTCGGGACAGGGTTTTGAATTGCATGGTCGGCCATGTGGAACCTTGCTGTCTTAATCACCAGGCCGTGGAGCTGGCCTGTCTTGATGCATGTATCCATCAGGGGTGCATGCCAAGTTCTTTTCAATTCTGGCATAGAGGCAAGCAAATATTAAATGGAAAAAAATGTCCCCAGAAAGTAGTAAAACTAGTAGATTCCTGCTTCCTGTTACATGTGCCAGATTCTGTGATTCTCACTCTTAGTTGGGGAGAGCTCTAGAAATGTCATCTGTTGAATCTATTTTGAAAGCATTTGATACAGAGTCTAAGAGAAGATTATGTTTAATATTTATAAAGATCACTAAAGTGAGGACTCTTTTTTCCCTAACATTTTATGAGAAATTTAAGCATACAGAAAGGTGAAAAAATTTTACAATGAACACCCATATACCTACTACCTAGAATTCGCCATTATTATTTTACTGTACTTGATTTACTACTTACCTATCCATCTATAGTGTTCTCTTGAGTCATCAATTCATCTTATTTTTAAATGCATTTCAGAGTAAGTTATTCATGTCAATACACTTCTTCTAAATACTTCAGCATGTATGTCATTAACTAGAGTATTTACTTATAGTTCTTTTTTTCTTTTAGCATGAAATTTATATACAATTTAAAGCACTGTTGTATGTGTACATGTGCTGAATTTGAAAGAAAGTTGTCTTGCTGAAAGAAATCAGAGGCTCTGAGGAAAAGGGGGCTAGAATTCTTTCGCAGCCTTTGTCCCCTGCCTCTTACATGGCTGTTCACAGTAGAATAAAAGCTCTCCTGGGCTCTGACTTAGATCACCTTTAGTATTATGGCTCATTCCCCACATAAATCAAACCTTAACCGGTGGCTTCTGTAAAATGAGTTTCTACCCCCACAGTAGCTCTATTGCCTGATGGCAGGAGCAATAGCAATAAGAGGAGGATATTTGGATCAGCAGTTGGTGTAATGGCTATGTCGCTGGACTCCCATGTAGTTGACCACGGTTTGAGTTCTGAACCTGGTGGCTTAAACTCACACCGGACACGCGTGCGTGCGTGCCTGCCCAAGATCCCGAGAGGAGAATGCAGGAGAAGGGATTGCGACATGGCCATCCCCCCCCCACGGGGGGGGGGTGATTTCTCACTTTCTGTCTGTCTTTCTGGTGAGCACACGCACCCTATAGCAAAAACCTCTCCAAAAAAAAGAGGAAGATACATCTGCTCCTTTTGTCCATGTCTTGAGTTCTTAGATAAGACACTTGTCATTTTCAGGAGAGAATGAAACCTAATTTTTATACCAACTTGCTATCATAAGAAGCCTTTTCCTCACATTTTATTTATTTTATAAAATAGGGTACCAGATGAATGCATCATCTTGGCCAATGTTTCTATTACGAACACTAAATGGATCTGAAATGGCACCTGCAGCATTGTTCAAGAAGGTAAGAAAGATGCTATAAAAAGTATCCATTGACTGGGCTATGGTTTTATTGTTTTAGTGGGAATATTTAAATGTGCTGTCTTTGTTTTCTCTGATGTGGAAAAGCAGAAAATACTTCTTAAATTACTGGACTGGCAAGTGTATTTGTTTCCTGGGGCTGTTGTGACGAAATAACATAGACAGTGTGCCTTTAATAACACATTTGTTGGGACCTGTAGGTGGCATGGTAGTTAAAGTGCTGTATACACACATGGCTGACTGCATTCAAACTTGGTGGCTTGAAAATCATTCCAGGTGTGTGTGTGTGTGTGTGTGTGTGTGTGTGTGCGCGCGTGTGTGTGTGTGCCCAAAATCCTGAGAGGAGAATGGAGAAGGGATTGCGGCATGGCCATCCCGCCTCCCCAGGGTGATTTCTCACTTTCCCTATCACTGTCTCTCTCTGGCAAGAAAAAAACTAAAAATTAAAACAAAAAACAACTAGAAATTTGTTTTCTCATAATTTTGGAGATTAAGTCCCAGATCGAGGTACCCTTAGGGTTGATTTCTGGTGAGACCTTTCTCTTTGGTTTACTGGTGGCCCACCTTCTTTCTGCATCCTCACATGGCTTCTCTGAGGATGCATATCCCCAGCGTCTCTTCCTCTCTATAAGGACACCAGTCCTATTGGATTAGTGCCCCACTCTTATGACCTTACTTAAGCTTTATTACCTCCTTAAAGGCCCTATCTGCAAATACAGTAGTATATCATAGGAATATATTATAGTAGCCACACTGGGGATTGTTACTATTTCAACATATAGTTGTTTTTGTTTTGTTTTTTTTAAGAGAAATTTTTGCTATATGGCATATGTGCTCACTGGAGAGAAAGGCAGAGAGACAGAAAGCGAGAAATCATCCCCCCAGGGAGGATGGCCACGCCGTAATCCCTTCTCCTCTATTCTCCTTTTGGCACACGTGCACATGCGCCCAACGTGAATTTTAAGTCTCCAGGTCCGGGACTTCAACCACGGTCAACTACATGGGAGTCCAGCGATGTAACCATTATGCCACCTCCTGGTCCCTCAACATATGGATTTTAGGGGTGGACACAGTTCAGTCTACAATTAGCCTTAAGCAAGAGGAATTTGTTCTCTCACAGTTTTAGAGGCTAGAAATCTGAGATCGAAGTATCAAGAGGATAGATTTCTTCTGAGGCTGATCTCCTTTGCTTCTAAATGCCTGTATTCTCCTTTTGTTTTCATATGGTCTGAATCTCTGTATCCTAATATTCTCCTCTTATAAGGATATCAGTTATACTGGATTAAGGTCTACCCTAATGCCCTCATTTTAACCAAATTACCTCTTTAAAGATCCTATTTTGAAATGTAGTCACATACGGAGTTATTGGGGATCAGGGCTTTGGCGTATGAATTTTGGGGATGGCACAATTCAGCCCATAACTGCAAATAATAAAAAAGGCTCAGTTATGGGGGCAATAGGTGGCGTAGTGGTTAAGGCAGCTGGACTCTCACATGGCTGACCACGGACTGAGTCCTGGACCTGGCAGCTTGCTTTCCCACTTTCCTTCTCTCTCTCTGGTCAACTTTGAAAAAATAAAAATAAAATAATGACAATGAATAAAATTTAAAAACATTTTAAAAAGGCTCAGTTATAATCATCCTCATGTTGAATTAAAATAATCTTTCTTAACCTTAGATATGAAAGGGTTGCTCTACTTGAAGTGAGTGTTCATTTTTTAAAAGTTTATTTTATTGTTTATTTCATTAATTTTTTCCATGAGAGAGAGACAGGCATTCCAACAAGATCTTCACACTGTGATCCACCCTCAGTCTTTGTTGGCCCAGATCACAGGCACATGCTCCCCCCCCCCATACACACACACCAGCATACTCAGGAAGGTCCTAGAACATGAACCTAGGCTCTTTCCCAAATGTGGGTCAATTGTGTTACCATTGGATCACCACCTGGCCCCCGCTGATTGCTATTTTTCATTTACCTTCAGAAGTAAAACTTCTTTCACTTTGCTGTGTTAGTCATCCCTTTGATATTGGTAAAAATGATGTGCAAAAAAAAAAAATCACTTGAAAGTAACTTGAAGAGATTTGATTTTAGAAGTACAGAATGTTTTAAAAAATCAGAAAAAAAATTGTTAGAAGGAAATATACATTGGACCAGGAAGGTAGTGTGGTTAAGGTGCAGGACTCCCATATGGTTGACTGTGGTTCAAGTCCCAGACCTGGTGGCTGGAAAATCACTCTAGGTGCATGTGTGTGTGTGTGTGTGTGCCCAAAATCCCAAGAGGAGAATGGAGAGGAAGGGATTGTGGTGTTACCATCCTCCATAGGGGGTGACTGCGCAGTTTTCCTTTCTCTGTATCTCTCTAGTGAGCACATGTGTCCTATGGCCAAAAAAAAAGAAAGAAAGAAAATGTGTATCAACTATATGTAAGCCAGAGATCACAACAAGAAAAATATAATTTTAACATAGTGGAGGGTAAGGGAAGGAGCAAAAATTCCAAATACAGTTACTGTTCTTGAGAAAAATGTTGAAAAGAGTCTGTTAAGAAAGAAAGAATAGGGACCAGCAGATGGCACAATGGTTATGTCACTGGACTCCCATATAGTTGACCATAGTTCAATTCCTGGACCTGGCAGCTTGCAACTCACACCTGCCATGTGTGCATTTATGCCCAAGATCCTGAGAGGAGAATGGAGAAGTGATTGTGGCATGGCCATCCTCCCTGGGGAGTGATTTCTTGCTTTCTGTTTCTCTGACAAGGGAATGCACCCTATAGCAAAAATATCTTTAAGAAAAAGGAAAAGAAAAAGAAAGCCAAGTTCAGGACCAGCAGATGGCATAATGGTTATGTCGCTGAAGTTCCATGTAATTGACTGCAGTTCAAGTCCCGGATCCAGCAGCTTGAGTCTCATGCTGGGCATATGTGTGTGTGCCCAAGATCCAGAGAGGAGGGATTGCAGTGTGGCCATCCCCCTGTGGGGTGATGTCTCTCTTTCTATCTCTCTGTCTCTACAAGCAAGTGCACGTTCCCTATAGCAAAAATCTCTCTCTCAAAAAAGAAGCTTGATTCCACTTTAATTATGGGGCAAAATATTTCTTACCTACTCTCCTGATTTTTTTCATTCACTTAAATTTTATTATCACTATATTGGGAATGATAAAAATCTATTATAGCTTCTTTAAAATAATTATTTAATTTTATTAGTATGTTATAAAATTTGACCAGAGAAAGAGAGAGAGAAAGGGAAAGTAAGAAAGCAAGCTGCCAGGTTTGGGATTTTGAACTACAGTCAGCCATGTGGGAGTCTAGTGCCTTAACCACCATGCTACCTGCTAGCCCCTCAATTGTAGCTTCTTAAAACTTTTGAAGAAGATTAAAAAATAAGTATTTGATATATCAATTAATATGACTCCTGCATTGCAGAGAAAAATTCTGAGTACAGCTTTGAGCATTGTGAACAGAGAAAGCAAGTTTGCTCTACCAGCAAGGGACACAGGCAGACTCAAGTCCCTTGGCCATTGTAAACCATATGTAAAAATATTGAGTAGTTGGGAAAGTCATGACCATTTTTGCATAGAAAAACTTGGAAAAATATGACTTTCCACACAACCTAATAGCTAATAAAAACTATTTAGCAGTAGTCTTTATTTATGAAATACCTATTAGCTTGGGCTATGACTTTAGAAAAGCCTTTGGTTCCGTTTTATTGATATTTATCAAATTGCTTTATCTGTTAGTTATATGCCACGTGTCATATACATTACCATGTTTTTTATTTTAAAATTATAAAACTAATTAATGTTTGTGAGGACCAAGCTCTATAGTTAGCTACTGTGAAAAATTCATCTCCCTTTGTCCTGTTCATTCCTTCATTCCACACATCACTCTTAATTAACGCTTTATTTTATCTTCTACACCATTATCTGTGCATTCACAAACAAATACAGGTTTTTATTTTCTGTGAATTTTTCTTCCTAAAATATATTGGAGGAGGGTCTTCAAAGAGTTTATGGAAAATGCATATTATGACAAAAACTATGCATGGATTTCCATTTTCTTTGCACCAAAATAAACAAATACTTTAATTCCATTTTTTCTGCTTTTGAAATTTTCTATGTTTTAGAAATCTTTCCATTTCATTTTGTATGTATTTCAGATTATATTGCATTCTTCTGTGGTATAGATTAGTAGAATTGATTTAACCTTTCCCTGAAAATGTATGATTAGGTCACCTCCATATTCTAGATCATCTCCATATTCTTGTTTCCACTAGCTCTGCAGTGAGCATTCTTAATGAAAAGTTTTGTGTATAACTGCGAATAGCTACATTTTTAGAGGTAGAATTGCTGGTTTAAAGGGATATATGATTTAAGTATAGATGTATACTATTAAATTACATCCCAGAAGAATGTTCCAAGCTTTGATCCAACTTTGATCCACCATTAGCATATAAACATTTATGTCTCTACACCTTCACTAACATTGAGTATTATCCATCTTTCAAAGTTTTGTGCATCTTTGGAGGGAGATGAGGAGAATGGAATAGTATTAAATTGTTTTAATTTGCATTGCACTGATTACCAGTGAAATTGAGCTTTTAAAATTTGTTTAATAGCTTTTTGTATGCCTGATTATAGCCTTTGCTGTTTTTTTTTTATTGCATTTATTTTCTTACTGATTTGTGATTGCCCTTTCAGCCAAGCTTGAAACTTGGCCAGGAGCCATCTTAAATCCTTTTTCTTCTTGACCCTGGCCTCTAGGTAGCCAATTAATTAGAAAGGTCCATTTACTTTGCTTCCTAATTATTCCTTTGTTCTGTCTTCTTTTAAACTTTATCACCACTGCTTCTCCTGCAGGCTTTCCTCTTTCCTTGACTGTTACACTAGCCTTTTAACTATCTCAAATCTTCACCCTTCCACACAGTTGCTAGAAGTTTGTATATACCATTGAAACCCTCTACCACCCACTCTCTACCATCTCCCCCCACCCCCACCCTTTGCAGTCTCTGGTGTCTACCAGACAGTCTTGGATATCTTGTTCAATGATAATTCTTGAATTCCTGGTACATAGTGGATAATAACATATTTCTTTAATGAATGAATGATTAAGTTGGTTTTGTTTCCTTCCAGGTTCTTGGCTCTGCTCCAGAATAAAAGTACAATGTTAAAGAATAGAATTTCAGGTCTCTGAGAATTGTTTTCTTCCTGTATTAATTGATTATTAAACATGGAGCTTTATTTTGGGTTGCTAAGTTGTATGAGAATATACATGAGCAAACGATTCTTAATACATCTTAACAATGATAACTATTTTATGTTTTGGTAGGAACCACCAAAGCCACCCGTAAATAATTTTAAAGTGGGGATGAAACTGGAAGCTATAGACAAAAAGAACCCGTATATGATCTGCCCCGCAACCATTGGAGACGTTAAAGGAGATGAAGTTCATATCACATTTGATGGCTGGAGCGGAGGTTTTGATTATTGGTGCAAGTATGATTCTCGAGATATTTTCCCAGTTGGGTGGTGCCAGCTGACAGGAGATGTATTACAACCACCAGGAACTAGTGGTAAGATAATAAATAGCTATGTGTGCTTTTGTTCTTTTATTTATGATATTAGATCTAACTGCTCTCGGTGACATTGTAGTCCGCATTGGTGATGTTAAGACTTCATGTCCCATTAGAGTGGCAGGGAGAGAATAGCAAGAGCATTGTCCAAGCTAGACAAGGTGGAACACTGGTGGTAAAGGAAGGCAATGTTGAGAATTCTTGAGGGCTACTCCAACATCATAGTCTGAGTTTCAATCCACACTGGAGAATATAGACAAAGCTAAAAGTCACATTTGGACCATTGAAGCCATGTTGTTATAAGCATTGTGGGGACCTCAGTCACCTTTATAGTTGTTATGCAGTTAAAAATTACACATGATATGGGGCCAGCAGATGGCATAAGCGGTTACATCGCTGGACTCTCACATGGCTGACTATGGTTCAAGTCCCAGACCTGGTGGCTTGAAACTCATGCTGGGTGCATGTGCGTGCCTGCCCAAGATCCTGGAACGAGACTGGAGGAGAAGAGATTGTGGTGTGGCCATCCCCAGTAGGGAGTGGTTTCTCACTTTCCCTCTCAATATTTCTGTCTCTCTCTCTCTCCAGCAAGCACATATGCCCTAAGGCAAAAATCTCTAAAAAAAATTACATATGATACTCTGTTGTTCATATCTCAAAGGTATTTTATAAAAGATAGGCATAATTGTTATAAACATGTTTTATATTATTTTGGTCCTATTGTCAGGTTAAATTGATACTTTGATAGTCTTAAGTAAAATACACATGTTGGTGAAAATTTTCAACTCTGTGGAAGCCATCATAGATTAGTATGTTATTTTTGTCATGGTAGTATTTATCAGTTGTAATATTGTGTTTTCTAAGTTGAATACTATGATCATTTAGATATTTTCTTTCAGGGAAAAGTCATAAAAACTTTGAAGCTCATCTTGGGATATGATTCCTCAAGGGCTTAGATATGCCTAGATATGTTCTGCGATGGAAAAACTTGAGAGATCTAAGTGGGATCTTAGCACAGAACCCAGTCATTGACCTAAGTTTAATAGGGAACTTATTAGTGGAGTCAAGTGTAAACATACTTTTTTTTAAATGTTAAAAAAAATTGTTTGGAGATGTTTTTTCTATAGGTCACGTGCGGTCGCCAGAAAGACAGAGAGAGACAGAGACAGAAAGCTAGAAATCACCCCCTGGGGGGATGGCCATGCCCCAGTCCCTTTTCCTCCATTCTCCTCTCAGGATCTTGGGTACACACGCACACACACCCGGCATGAATTAAGCCACCGGGTCTGGAACTTGAACCACGGTCGACTACATGGGAGTCCAGTGACATAGCCATTACGCTAACTGCTGGTTCAAATGTACCCAACTTGGGGACCAGCAGGTGTCATGGTGGTTAAGGCACTAGACACTCCCACATGGCTGACCATGGTTCGAGTCCTGGACCTATTGGCTCGCTTTCTCACTCCCCCCCCAACCCCGTGTGTGTGTGTCTCTCTCTGGTCAAATTAAAAATAAATGAATGAATAAATAAAATTAAATAAAATAATTCTTTAAAATTATGTACCCTACTAAATGTTTTATACCAGAGAAAAAGAGAGAGAGATAGAAAATGAGTAGGAAAGGTATGTAGTGGAAGGCAGTAGCTAGATAAAAGCTTACAGCCACACACATTCTTTAAGTGCTGTCAGAACTTCTGTCATTTGGGACTGTAACATATCTCATAATCCAATATTGCACACCTACTTTTTATTAGTTTTTTTAAAGCCAGTTCCCTGTAGCTGTAATTCTAAGAAGTAGATATTAATGGTTGATTTTGTAAAATTTACTATGATACAGATGTATGTGTATGTACTAAGTAAAGTAAGACATAAATGAGTTTGTGATGTATGACCAAGAACGCAGTTGTCCTCTAGTATCTGTTCTCCCCTTTTTTAGTAATACAGTTTGGCTATTTAACATAAAGACTACATTTCTAGCCTCCTAAGAGGATACTATAGCCATAAGACTTTTAAGTCCTAGTGAATGCGATAAAAGTAAGCATATCAGGGCCAGCAGGTGGCATGGTGACTAAGGTGCTGGACTCCCACATGGCCGACTGCTGTTTTGAGTCCCAGGCTTGAAAATCATGCCAGGCACATGTGTGCCCAAAATTCCGAAAGGAGAATGGATTGTGGTGTAGCCATCCTCCCTGGGGGGTGTGTTTCCGGGATGTGTGTGTGAGTGTGTAATGTCTTACTTTCCTTCTCTGCCAAGTGCATGTGTCCTATGGCAAAAACCTTAAAAGAAAAAAATTACAGATAACATGTTCTACTTTGAGAACATGTCTTACAGAGAAATGAGTGTGTCCTTCTCTATTCCTTCTTCTTTTTTGTTTTTTTTTGTTTTGTTTTGTTTTTTTGTTTTTGGAGAGGTTTTTGCTATAGGGCGTGTACACTTGCCAGACAGAGACAGAGAGACAGAAAGCGAGAAATCACCCCCCAGGAGGGATGGCCATGCTGCAATCCCTTCTCCTCCATTCTCCTCTCGGAATCTCGGGCATGCATACAGGCACACAGGCACACGCGCCCGGTATCCGTTTAAGCCACCAGGTCCGGGACTCGAACCGCGGTCGACCACATGGGAGTTCAGCAACATAGCCATTGTGCTAACTGCTGGTCCCAATAGCCACTGTTTTTTTTTTTTTTTTTTTTTTTTTAAAGGATTTTTCTATTGCTGCTAGCAGAACTTAAATCCTGACTGATTCAGGTAGATTTGGTATCCAGGTGAACATGTCCATTGGATGGCTGCACATACAGGTATAGGGCCTAAAAAAGACAGATCTTGGTCAGCAAACCAGGTTTGAGACCTGTCATGTTCAGCTCAAATACTCTTTGTGCCATGTGGGATTACAGGTGCTGAGCAGTTTACAAATTTGTTAATAGTAGTAAGTGGTGGAAGTTTGGGGGGGACAAGAGCTTTTTTTTTTTCCTCTAATTGCCAGACGGCATGTGTGCTTGCTAGAGAGAGAGGGGGAGAGGGAGAAAGTACCCTCTCCCCAGTGAGGTGCAGTCATCCACAATCTCTTCTCTATTTCTCCATCCTGTTGGGATTTGGGACTTGTGCACACATGCACCCAGTGTGTTTTTCAAGCTGCTGGGGCCAGGATTTGAACCACAGTTGACCATGTGAGATCCAGCTTCCTTTAACCATCAGGCTCTGGGGTCAGCCCTGGATGGGTTTTAATTGTCATGTGTGTAATAAGTGGATGTAAAAGAGGACCAAGACAGAACCTTGTGGGTCAGTACTTAAAACAACATTTTTCACATTTGAATCACTTGGGGGTTCTTATTGAAAGGCAGTGCCCTGCAACTCATACCCAGAGGTTCTGAATCAGTAGGTCTGGAGTGGGGCTTGGATGTTTTCAGTGCATATAGTTTGAGGCCTGAACTTTGAGAAGCACAAACATGGAAGGTGGGTAGAAGATAGAAGTTAATCTAGGATCTTGGGAAAAAGTATGCATGAATATAGTAGTCATTTAGTTGGTTCCTCCAACAACCTTAGAGGAAAGATTTTAAGAAACTATGCAGTGTTAGTAAATGCAGCATGAAAATCAAGCATGAGAGCTCATTAGTAGTCTTAGAAAAAAGTATGGTTACTGGACTTTCATTTAAAAAGCCAGAAATGGACAATTGAGGAGTAAATAGGAAATGTTAAGTGTTAAATTAATAATGTGACTTCCCAATAATTTATGAGATCTCCCTCCTCTGTCCTATATGTTTTTTTAAGAATTATTTTATCTAACATTTATTTATTTTAATTTGGACAGAGAGGGACAGAGAGAGAGAGAGTGAGAAAGCAAGCCGCCAGGTCCGGGACTTGAACCACGGTTGGCCATGTAGGAGTCCAGTGCCCTCAGTGCCCCTATATGTATTTTTTTTCCAGGTAAAATTTAGAAATCTTACCTCACTTTACAGTTCCTTTACCTTCCAGTCTTTATAATTGTCTCCAATATTTCCTCTATATTCACTGAGAATCACATTAGATTATTAAAATTTTCATTTTGATCATAAACATAATTTATTAATAGAAGACTTGAAGAGAAGGAAAATTTACTGTATTTCCCCACATTTGTGTTCTTTCAGTAGTTCTTCTTTTTAAATTTTCAAGATTCCTTTTATCATTTTCTTTCCATTTAGAGAACTTCCTTTAACCATTCTATTAGGTTAGGGTAGGGACAATTAGATTATTAAAATTTTCATTTTGATCATAAACATAATTTATTAATAGAAGACTTGAAGAGAAGGAAAATTTACTGTATTTCCCCACATTTGTGTTCTTTCAGTAGTTCTTCTTTTTAAATTTTCAAGATTCCTTTTATCATTTTCTTTCCATTTAGAGAACTTCCTTTAACCATTCTATTAGGTTAGGGTAGGGACAGATTCTTTGTTTGTCTTCATATGAAAATGTCTTTATTTCTCCTTCATTCCTTTTTTTTTTTAAGTGTATATTTCATTCACATTAGAGAGTGTATGTATGTAACAGAGAAAAGGGAAGAGAAAGAAAAAGAGGGAGAGAGGGTAGGGAGGTCATACTTGATAGGGTCTCTCACTCCACAGTCTCTTTTCTCGAGTCTTCACCAGTCCATAGCTGTCGGCTATGTGGCTTCCAGCGCTGTAGCTCCATTTGCTACCAGCTGTGCTATCAGACTTCATTCTTGAAGGATTGTTGCTAAATATAGAATTCTAGGTTGATGTCTCTTTTCTTTCGGCACTTGAAAAATGTGCAGCTTCCTTCTGGCTTCCATGGTTTCTGATGAGAGATTTGCTGTTATGTGAATCATTTCCCCCCATTACAATGGATTTCATTATATACGTGTATGTATTTTTTCTGATAGTTCTTTCAGTGTTCATTTTATGCTTTATCTGTTTTGTGGCTATAGTAGAAGGTGTGTACACATTTTAAATTGTTATTAACTAACTGATCAATTGAACCTTTTGTAGTTACTCATCTGATAACTTTTT